AGTGATCTTAGGGAGTTGAGAGCAATCGTGAAGTGCCGCTGAAATCTAGTGTTTCACTCGGGACTCTAGGTACGCCATAGACAGAAAACCTCCTTTAAACTGCCGCAGTTTATTTCCGAAGATTGATCATATGAGTGGTAGAAAAGTAACTTGGATCAGCTTATTTTGATTTTCAGTCTTTTAAATCGTACACAAACCTTCGAATTTCGCGGATTTTCGTGACGATATTTCATTTCTAGACAAATTCACATGTCTTTGAATGATTTGAATAGGATTCTGTTACATACATTATAAATCAGATGTTTATACACTTGTGGACTATATTACAATATGCGAATAACTGTAATTTACGTGAATATTTCTAAATGACAAAGACCGCTCCCCTAAAATTCAGATCAAAACGTCTAAGTGAACAATAAAACTTCCAGGCATATCTCCGGCTTTACTGTGATACACATAGCAATAAGAATGGTTATTAAATATCGAACAATTCAGTTTATTTGTTAACGAAAGCAATAAAATGAATGCAAAACCATGCGGCTAGTTTGGGTCAAGATGACAACAGTTGTCATAATAATGATGTGCAGTATGGAAATGTATAGTGATAATAATGGCAAAAGTAGTATTTTTATAAATACTTGAGCACACAAATTGAACCGAAGCTTATAATTCATATTTTAATGTACCAGAAAAATACTAAATTGCAAAGGAAGTAAACAAACACGTTTTCAGTGGAGATATCACACACACACATAGGAAACTTGACAAAAATCAGCTGTATATGTACAGTGGAGAACGTAAATAATTAGATCTATATTTATTTACAAGAGAGCAGTAACTGCAATAATTTAAAATGCGGCTATTTATCTGAATATCACAGTGGGCTAATGGGTAATCCATCCTATAGAAGTGGTGCGATGCGACAGTTCATCTTGAACGTTTTTGTTTTCTATCGGCTACCATGAAGTGGCTGAGACATAGGATGAAATAAACAGATGATACTTGTTCTTGTTCCACAGTGGGAGATATTCTGTAAGATTATACAGTTTTTCAAGCAACTCTGTCTTCGGGAGGAGCTGAAATAATGAATATATCCATGCGTAGCAAAATTGGGTCATGCAGCCTTCTTTTTTCATGACTACTCGTGAATTGAAAATGTTAGACTCAGATAACTGACATTATTGTCAATAGGCACTTCAACAATCTGGCGAAAGTTATCTTGTCTAATACTGAAAATCCTCTTCATTTTCAACTTTTACCTGGTCTATCTTAGGGTAAGGCCAGAAGAAACCTGATAAGGATTTACTCTAGTACAACTAAATATAAAAATTCTACTATACAATATTTAGACAGAGTGAGATGTCATAAAAAACTTATAAAATCTTTAATTGAACTGCAAAGTATGGGCGAAGATTACTATTACATGCATTACCTATGATACCTTCTACTGATACTTCATTATGTTTTTACCATCATTCTGTTTATTTAGGTTTTTTTATTAATATTATTATTACTATTTTAAATTTTATGTATGTACGTATTCATAAGAGGAGCTAAATTGTTGTAATATGTATAAAAGCGCTGAAAATTCTATTCTATTCTATAAAATTATTATTGTTTTTTGAAATAAAGTGATTATTATTGTTTTAAGCATAAAATTTCTTGTCAGTATTTAGAACAGAACTTTGGTTGACGCATCCTCATTGACTCTGAACCTAATGAACACAAATGTGTTTAATTTTCGTCTTTATGCGAAAAATACGAAGACACTACATCTCAGCTAAAAATGAGGACATTTAAATCCCTTAGGTAAGTGGACCTCGAAGGAAATCTTTCCTTATCTTCTCGTGGTACACTATACGGGACTTTATACTCAGTGAATATGTACAAAATTCAATATGTGCAAATTGATCTGTCAATATTTTTATCTGAAAAATATTCATATCAAGTGAGTAGTCTTTTCATCTTCTTAACATAATGTCAATAAAGCACATTATGCGCTCATGCTTTCCCTCAAAATTAGAAATAAACAAAAGGTATATATCATTAAATTTTACAAGTATTCACACTTGATTCAAAAGAACAAAAAGTTCAGAAACACAGATATCTTTTCGGCGATTTCATTCTCAAAAGCAATCGCATTTATATAGATTAGTTCCCATGGTTACAATTATTATTTGTTTAATTCCACATAGTAACGAAGATGATAATAATTTTCAACTTGATATGAAAGTCTGAAGGTACGATTATAGATTACAAGGGGCTTAGAGATAAGATTGCATAGGATTAGAAAATAGTTACAACGTATGCGAAATTAATATTTGATAACATGAGAAATAATTTTAATGGCAAATAAAAGGTGACAACTATTTTCAACTTGATATGAATAACAAGAGGCTTAGAGACAAAATTTACGCAGGGATAAAACGAATTACAGGTATGAAAAAAATGAGCATGGTAACAAAATGACATCAACATTTTCAACTTGAAATGTAGGTTAGGGGGTGTGAATATAGATTACAAGAGGCATAGAAACAAAAAAAATACAAAGGACTAGAATATAAATGTAAAATAGTTATTCTAAACGAATTACAAGTGTGATCAGGAGGAGCATGGAAACAAACTTTAAATAACTGATTTTATAAATGAAAAAATGGGATGAATTGAATGAAGACAAAGAGAGAAAATTACACACACAGAGAACAAAACAAAAAACTGAAGGGTGAAGGAACATACCGAAATAGGTCCACGGTAGTTGCAAATTCTGGACTGGTTTTTTTGAAAATATAGTTCCGGTTTTTCGATGCATATGGCGAGAGCTCCCGGAGTATAAAGAAGTAAGAAACACACTGCCTTTGGTAGATTTTTGTTTACTTTGTAAATGACTCTAAATGATGAGTCAGTTGAGATTCTGTGACAGATATTGACGAGATGTTCAGTTATTGCGCTTCTGATTGAACCAGTGCCTCCTCTTTGCAGCCATGCTGGATGATGTTCTCTAACACGTTTTATAAGACCCGCATAGAACGATCTATGTACCTAGGTCCACAAGAGCAGATGAACTGATATATGCACACTGAAGTGGTCAAATGCGGAAGTCTGTCCTTCCCGCTGCTCCGAAATATTGGGCGGCTAGAGAACATCACTCTTAGAGTTGCTGCTGGAAAAGTCCTCTTCAGGGAATTAGAGATTCTCCTTTTAAGGATATCTGCTGCTTGGTCTCCCTGAATTTCAAATTCAAATAGAGTGTCTTCTTTTGCACTGAAGTGCGTTGTTCTCTTTTTGGCCTTGGTTTCATGTTCTTCTCCACGAAACGCGGTGGGTGTCCATTTTGAACCAGGATGCTTTTGGGAAATAGGAGCTCTTCTTCTAAAAAGTCACCGCTACGAATTCTTGTGGTACGGTGGGCTAGCGAGATGATGAGATATTAACTTTTTCATTAGTACTGAAGAAGTAAATTTCATTGCGAACCCACTGGATTTATTGAAATAACAAAAGCTAGAGAGCACTGCATGGATATATCATGACTACAACAAACCCTATTTCTTTGTGAATTATGAGTGTACCACTGACAGAGTAGTAGTGTTGTGGTGTGATACAGACAATGTGTGCCAACGGAACATGATTCTCATTTATTCCCACAGTTCAATACGGCATTTGCAACAGAATACAATATATCTATTTGAACATTCTATTTGATGTTAGAGTCATAATACTTTTCCCATGGTTATAAACTGCATTGGCAACAGAATACTATGTATATTTGAACATTCTGTTTCTTTATGTTTAATGTGAACCGAAATCACACGGTCAGTGATGAATATATATATATATATAAACAGCGGTTTTATTGATGAAAAATATACCTTGGCTTCCGTGTCTTGCCTTCTGTTGTTACGTAGTAACTATCAGATTGGTAGTTCACATATTTTAGCGAAAAGCCTGCTGGCCTAAGAGTGAACACATAGTGATTTCACCTAGTTGCATGGATGTATAATGCTACACAAAATGTCAATTGTTAGTAGATCTGAGGAATAAGTCATACAGATTAGACTCTAAATTTTCTGTGCTGAGCAATATTTCAATGATTTGTTGAATTGTGTATCCAACCTTTTCAATAAATCGCACATATTCTTGGAATTTCAGTTAATGGACTTCAGGTCAGTGGATGAATATTTTTAGCAGACTGTGAGTACTAAGAATCTTTGGAAAATCTGTATGTCGCTGAATGCGACTGGTGAACTGCACTATATTCAAATGATAGGAAGAATAATATAACTGGTAACTATCATCAGGTATCCTTATCCTGGAAAGGTTATCTCAGTTTTTTCTCAATTAATCTCAGCGTATAACGGTTACTAAAAATTTGTATAATGACATGAGAAAAATGTACCGTAAAGAGAATCCGAAAAATTAAGCCAACACCTTTGCGATTTAGTTAAACGATTGTAATTATAACAGATTTATATTTATGACAGTTAAACAACTGTATACATAAAATCGCGATAGGTACATCTTATACATAAGGTGTCTTCAATGCAAAATTATCCAGTTTAAAAGTTTTATCATCGAATTTTCAAAACAAATTCTACTGTTGATTTGCTCTCCCACTAAATTCATAAGTTAGCAATGTGAATTCAGTTCAAAAGAATTAAATATTTTTATTGAATACAGTTTGAAATGAAATAATTTTAGCAAAAATGGTCCCTTAAATAAACACAGTGAATTTCTGGTTGCCAACAGGAAACATATTTCACTGGTACAGTGATTAGCGTTATAACCTAAGTGACCCAGAGAATGTAGAATTGCCAAAAAATACTATTCCACGTTTTATGAGTGAAACAGTATTTCTGGAAATGTGTAATGGGGTAAATGACAACTATATATATATCATTCTATGAATAAGAAGATGATCTCATCGCCAACAGTTCTGAAGGAAATAGACTATAGAATAACATTTTCTTCGCTTAGCTTGGCCACATTTCGTAAGCTATTACAGTTTATCGCCACTGAGTGATATCTTGACCATTTTGTGCATTAGAAAAGGAAGTAGGGAATCCATTGATTTCTAGCTTGTTTATATAACCATTGAAATTTTTTGAGCGCATAAAGATATTTTGTTTATACTGGGATGAATATTCGTTACTCATTAGTTCCAAATATCTTCTTTGTGCATGCAGTATTTCAGGAATACCTCCTATAAGAAAATCAGTTAATCACTTTATTAATATTTTTCAGGTTCTGGAAGATAATTCTGAACATTGTGTTGGTGAATATCTGATATTAAATCTAAACAAAAACATGGAGTTGTAAATATATTACAACTAATATCTTCTAAATAAATTACTACTATAACATAGTCTGACAGAAAATCTGAAATGCTACAGATATTCAACAGATGACCATTATGGAAGAAACCACATGAACTGTTACTTCTCAAAACTCTAAATTACTATGTTGTTTTTTTTACTAGAAATATAACATTGTGTAGCTTGTAAATTATACAAAAACATAAATCAATGGGACAATTATGGACGTTGCAGAAGTTTAAAGTTATTGGGTATTTACGAGTTGATGACGGATTGATATCAGTTAGAGAACCATTGAAAACCAGGGAGTACTGAACAGCTGCTGTTTCATCCTAGTTTGGGAATCATCGGCAGTACGCACCCACTGGGATTCGAACCCAGAACCTTCCGGTTACAAGGCAAGCTCGAATCCCAGTGGGTGCGTACTGCCGATGATTCCCAAACTAGGATGAAACAGCAGCTGTCCAGTACTCTCTGGTTTTCAATGGTTCTCTAACTGATATCAATCCATGATCAAATCGTAAAAATATAACTAACCCTTACAAACCAAACTATGGTAAGTTAGTGGGCATATAAAGTACATGCACCTAGATGTGTTCTTCAAATGAGTATAAGTCGGGTGTTTCAATGAAAAGTACTAATCACGATTGTACTAGTTTGCGCCGACATGTTTAAATATCCCATAATTTTCTGCTCGTATCTTCATTCCATTGATTTGACAGATTTTTGTCTAGGCTTTTGACATGCTAAGTTCTAACTAATAAGGAGTAAAATAGAGTTTGGCATAAAGATTTTGATGTGTTTTCCTCAACCTGATCTCAGGGAATAGTGACGACCGATAGTATTTTTTTTACCGACCATTTATCTTTTCACATCTTGGGATGTAAAATACATAATAACTGTTTTTGCTTAAGACTTCGTAGTCTTACTCCCTTCTTTTTTTATTTCTTTCACGCTCCCGGTGGAACATAGGGCTTCAAGCTGGAAGGATGGGATTGTTAGCCTCATGCCCAACCTTCCCTCTTTACCAGTCTTATTACTAGATAAGTGATGTAAAGGAGTACGTCGGCCGGTGATTGAACCCCGGACCATGTGCATGGTCGGCGAGCATGCTAACCGCTGTGCCACCGACGTACAAATTGTACACTCTTTGATGACATTAGATGGTTGGAGGTAATCGGCAGGAACCCTTGGACCTAGGTTTCGTGCTAGTTAGCACTCACCAGTCAGCAAGGCGTATCTGCGAACTTGAAGTAACTCATGTCCCTTCTGAGATTCGAACCCGCGTCACCCAGTGCTGCAGTCAGAGATGTTACCACTGAGCTATTCGGGCTCTTACTCCATTCTTAATCTGTTAAACTCCATAATTTAATACTATCATGGAGATAATGATAGACAGGACGATGTGTAAAATGCATTCGACCACAATAATGAGAATCATTTTTTTTTGGTGTCCAGTCAACATTTGATAGCTAAGCTTAACTGTCAAAAGTTTCGTTGGGTGATCACACGATACGTAGAAAATTAATTTAGGACTTACCAATATAAAGTTTGACTGGAAACATTTCGTAAATATCATTTTCAACTAAATGAACTCGAGCAATCAGCGACTGATTAATGAATAGTGTGAAACCCGTTGTACTTCTAAACAATATCGAAAAATATAATCTTTGTTTTAGTTTAGTATCAAATGAATTCTCACTAAGTAAAATTCTACAGTTGGTAAGAAAGTTCTCACATTATACATTCGCTATTTAACTTTCATCTAGTGAAAAGAGAAATGCTGTTCAGTCGTTCAGTAAGTTTATGAAAACAAAGTTGTCAAAATATGATTAAAAACAGCCTAATGAAAAAAAATGATAATTAACAATCCAACAGTTTGAACCAGTAGGTGGCCTACAATTAGTTTGCGTTTTACAGGTTCAATAACAAAATTTCACGATTTTAAACTACTGGCATTTCGGCAAAGATATTAGAAATATCGCTATACAAAATGCACTGGTCTCAACTTTGTTTTGGTGGATTTATTTCGCATTATATGTTAACGAACGCTAGCGGGATAGGCAAAGCATTATGCTCAGCAGTATGAGCATTTATGAGAAGCAGTGAACCTTTATTACTTTTAGCTTGATGAAGTTTCATCCACACAGTGAAAAATTTCACACATCATCAAGAGATTTCCGTGGGCAAAAGTCAATAATATTTTTAAAAACACGTCTTGGAGCTAGCATTCCATTTCTCAAACATTCTTTGAGCTAGGATAAGGTAATCTGTTCTCTGATAAACTGAACCGATTGAGTTCCGCTGGAGAAAATTACCAAAATGCATTCTTTTTATTTAGTCTCCGGCATGCATTTGCAGCATGAAGTTCCAAAAAGTATGGTTTATAACTGTGAATTTTAGGGGCCTATGATTTACGGCTTAACTGACAGTCAAGGTACAGTGAATTCTAATCAATTTTCCGCTATCAATCTGAGTCATTTTAAGGATAGTATTGTGGTGGTTTGATGCAGACGAAGTGTTCGAACTGAATTTTATTCTCGCAGTAAGAATCATTGTATTTGTTGATGTTAACGTCTGAATACTATACCCAGAGTTTAATAGTGCATTTTAGTTGTTGTTGCTGGTAGAGACAGAATACTGTTCTGTTGGAACACTTTTTCTGTATCACACTACCACAGTATTACCTCATTGATAATGCATTGCAGGATTTTGACTATTTGACATATGAGTTAAAGACAGATTGTGCATAAAATCCATATCTTAATAATAAATCACAGCACAAATGGATAGAATGTTTGTAGAACCTTGTGAGTAAAATTTTGTGCCAAAAGTTTGCAGTCATTATTTCTTCTGAAATATAATATTTTTGTATCCAAAGTCTTCGACTGAATTGATCATGCGTACTTTTCCACATTTCTTCTTTCTTTGTGGACTGATTTGTCAGATTGGAGGAGGACATTTTCATTGTGTTAAACTCTGTATTTTCTACTTTCAATTCAAACCGATTGATAGGAAGAAGCTGAATCAATACATTCTGAGTCCTATAGGCGTTTTCAAACACTGCATAGACGAAATACCGTTTAATAAAGTTAAAAGATTTGTTGTAAACTGGTGAATAACTTTCCGCTGAATTGATGTCACCTTCAAAACTGTTATTGGCTAATTTGAATTCAAATGACAGATGATAATGATGACTTTTAGGTCTAAAAAATAAAGATTCAGTTAATAAGTTGTGTACTCATTTATAAGTTCATAAAACACCAATCATACAGTCAGTTTAATTAAGGCATAGTTTAATGTTAAAGTTGAATAATAGTAGATAACCATCCATCATCTGAGAAAAAGAAGGCCGATTTTCCTATACTTTCATCTTTAGAATAATATAATCTCACCAAAAATGAACAGAATCTATTTCCTCAGTTAGTCTGTATACTAGAAGTTGTTTAAAGTGAAATGCCACTTACGGTTTGAAACAGTTACTCTGGTTTTATGTGTCATTTGAAACACCACTAATCATTATGATGCAGGCATATAGAGCTGATGAGTTCTAAATAGGTTAAACTGCGCACTACAAATTACAGCACTAGACACCACATATAAAAAACAATGAAAGTAAGAACCAGCAAGATAGCCAACAAATATATTATTTCTAATAATCTACTTGGAAAAGGTGTTTAATCCGGTATTAGGGAGATATTATCATTGGAACATTTAGAGAAATATCTTCCGATTAATCTGATTTTGAAAACTTTTCAGAGGTAGGTTCACCTCTGCCAGCAGAACTGTTAACTTTAGTAATAAAATAAAGTGTTCATTTCTGTCTAAACGGCTGCAGATGTCTTTAACTGCTTTTAACGATCCACTATTACTCAGTGTACATTGCAAAGATTTTGTGTCCATCTATCTTTGAATTGATTCCGACTATTTTTGAATCTTTCTGTGGTTAGAATTCCAGCCTTACTCCTTTCGTTTATTAAATGTCTGCTGACTTTTTAAAAACAGTTTTGGTTTATTATTGGACTTCTGGAATAAGTCGATCTCTTCTGTAAATTAGTGATGGCTTATTTAAAATAGAATATTTAACAGCTAACTGCATTTTTTAATATGGCACAAAGGATTGTCACTTTACTTCCAGTCACAGAGTCTCATGGTTTGCATCCCGTTTACTAACCCTGTGATCTATGGCCTGTATATATGAAAGATCTGCTGCAGATAATTACGCTGCGACTGACTCAAAGCTTCATGACAGTTGACAAAATCGTCTATAACATCACACTAATATGAGTTTGAACCAACAGATTACTTCTCACCAACAGTCACTACTCAACCGAAATGTCTGTTATGTCATCATTTCATTCATCCCAATCATCCCCTAAAATTACTTTTAATTGAAAGGATCAAATTGTTTTATTACTCCATTTGATTTATTTTTTGATTAGTTTGAGTCAAATCAACTTGTTTAGCATGAAAAACGGAATCATACCCAACAGTTTCTTAAGAAATTCTACAAGAATTATCGGATTTTTCCATCAAAATAAATGGAAGGGAATTAAACATTAAAAAAAAAATATGTCTCTAATGGTTAAATCTTGTTATCATTAAAACAATTACATGAACTTGTCTATGAGTGTTCACTGAAATTTTTTAGTTGAAAAAAAGCCTGTGAAATCAGCTAGTATAGTTGTACGGTGGATTTCTTAATCAAACCACACGTGAGGTTTCAATAAAAGGAATGCTTAAGTTTGCACAGTAACAGAACACAGCAAAAGGAGTGGAAAGTTACTGTAATCCCAGTAAACAACTGAGAAAGCTGTGCAATCTTGATGTTTACCACATATAATAAAGAACTTCTTTTCTATGTATAAATGTAAATACTTTTAACGGAAGTAATTTTCAAATGTGAAATATGATTGGATAAATGAAGAGCGCACCTTGTAGGCCTCTTATCATCTTTTTTATTAACACTTCCGAGAAAGTAATTAGTAATGTAGTCAGATTCAGTCTACGTGCATCAACCCGAGAATGTTTTTCTGTCTATTTGAAATGCTGAGTGATACGTGTAGCTCAGGATAAAATTACTGTATTAAAAAGTCCTGAAGGTCAGGAGAGAATACTATGAGGAAGTTCAAATAAAGTATGATTTTATTTCAGTGGTTTACACATAATGATAAGTTTTCCTATTGGCAATATTTCGAGCAAAACTACTACCGGTGTTCACATCCCTGTTGGAATTGTTTTGTTTTTTGTTATGCGGAAATGTGTTGCAAACAATGCTGATTCGAAATGGCCTATTCAAATAAATGTACTGCCCATTCTACAATAGAATATTGGCAAACACAATTTAGTATACACTTTATATTCGAGTATTTAAACATTGTATATCAAGTAAAAAACAGCATTAAGGTTCTGGTAACAAAAAAAACAGCGTTAAAAACCCACAGACCTGTAATTTAGTGAACTTGCTGTGAATTCCACAAAACTGTTCCCTCGAAATGTGGCTAATTGCTTTCCCTGCCAATTAATTTCTTGATGAACATTTCAAATGGATATTTCAAACAAAAACAAGATTAATAAAAAATTTAGAAATGATAGATGTTAGTTACTAATTTTACTAATTAGTGTAATAAGAGATTTAAATTATATAACCTTCACTCTCGATGATGTATATTATCAACTGAATAATTTTAACAGCGTTTGAGCCATCAGTATGTGCTACTGTGATGCTGTAAAACTCTGGTATTCTCATTAATTTCATTACTTTACTAACGAAAAACATTTGATTGTTCTCTCTCTAGACAGCTTAGACTGCATGCTTTGAAGACAGATATGTACATGCATTCTATCTCTGCCGGGCCTCCATGGCGCAATGGGTTAGCGCGTTCGGCTATTCACCGAAAGGTTGGTGGCTCGAGCCCACCCTGGGCGTTGAGGATTGTGACGTTACACATCGTAGAACTAACAACATCATGTACAAAACTTACTCGAATCACACGCGTCCATCTACTCTGCTCCACGACGAGCCAACTTCACAACGAAATGCACGCTTTTGGCGTCGGTGGCACAGCGGTCAGGACGCTCGCCGACCATGCACATGGTCCGGGGTTCTATCACGGGCCGACGCAATGCTTTACCTTGCTAGGCTAGAAATAATGCTGGTAAAGAGGAAAGGTTGGGCATGAGGCTAGCAACCCCATCCTGTAAAAATAAACACTGCTACAAAAACTTCAAGCCTCTAGCTTGGAGCCCTATTTTCCACTGAGAACGTGAAGGAAAAAATTCTACTTATGAACTTTCCTAGGTTCGTTTTAATTAATCTAATGCTATGCATTATGTTTTGGATGATGACGAAACATTATACCTGAAATTGGCAGTCATTTACTTTTGTCATCATTTAAAAGCATACTATTTATTCCCTAAAGCAGTAATTACGCCCAAGGATGAAAATATTCTGCTTCACGCAGAAACGAATACTTCTTATTTTAATAAAAACTTTATCCTAAGATATATATACCTAGTTCAAAAGTTTCAATTCAATGAATTTCATGTCCTACAGATTAACGAATGAAACCCTATGTAAACTGAACTAATTTTTCAATCGTCTATGTAATCCGCAAGAAATATTTGAAGGAAACGAATAATTCTGACCTAATATCCATCAGAAATCAAGGTGGGTTCTCATGCTCATGAAATAATAGTCAGAAGTATGAAATTTCGTATCATAAAGTTCAGCGAATACCAACCGTGCTTCCATCCTCATAGCCGGTTAAAGTGATGGACAAATAGTGCTATTTAATTCAACCTAGAAAATTATGAATCCTACAACAGTCATATTTTTAAATTAGTAAATTATTGCTTATCTTTTGCCTACTTGTATGATATTAGTAGTATAAATTTGTAAAGGGCATTTATTGAGTCCAGAGTGTTCACCGTGAAATGCTGCTTTAATCGCGAAACTTTAAAGTAACTGATCCGGGATAATTTCATAATAATAGCTGTTTTCTAGAGAGATAGTTTGCAGGTTGTACAGAACTCTCAATGCAACTTATAGCGTAATATCTCCTCTTCATCCGAGATAATAATCGAAAATAATAATCTATAGTATATCATGTGGCGGCACGCTGCTCCTTCTGAAGCATATACTAATCCCTTCTAGTATCCTCCCTTTATCATTTAGAAATGTTCACCAATAAGTTGAAAGCAATTAAATGCGTTTGTGACTGCGCTCTGCGACCAAAGGACATAATGGAATAATTAAAAAAATACGAAATAAAGAGACCGATGCGTTTTGTCGGGTGGAAATTAAGCAGGCTGCCGGTTTTTGACTTACTCTATAGACTAAGACATATTGGATTCGTTCAACTTTATAAATTCAAGTGTTTTTTGTTGAGTTAATCATGTCACCTAACTGGTGTATTCAACTTTGGGATGCCATTTTACTTATGGTTTCGCAAAATCTGCAGTAGAGTATTGAACGAGACTTATCGGACATATTTTAGTGAATTCATGTGGTTGGGGAAAAGAGAAAACAACTTATGGGAAATCACAAAAATCGCAACAACAAAAGTGTTTTAACACATGACTGCACAACAAGTAGGTCCCAATAAACTGAAATTGGCACACAGTCTCATCTTCTCTTTAGACTAATTTGAAATCAGTATTTTTGATGACTTTTTCATGACTCATATGATTGGGCAAACATTTTAAAGGCAAGAGATGTCCTTTTTATATATAAACGTCTGTTGTGTTAATTTCGATTAATTTCCCTGAAGAAGTTCAGACCAGTTCGCCGCATGAAACCTTGGAATTACTCATTTCAACTTACAAATATCATTGTATTTATTGCGGTATATGATAAAGTATGCAATTCCACATTTACTTGTACATATAAAGCTAAGGAACATACTTTCTCCAAAGTTCCATAAACAAACTCGGAGACACGAATTCAACATCTGCATGACACTATGCTTGCCTAACCTCTGCTACTCTGAAAATCTACATTTGGTATAGTTATTAGGGTAAATTAGAACATATACCAATACAAAACAATGCCTTCTTTCTTACTTTCTTTGCAATGGGTTCCTTGAAATCCAAGTGGACAAACACAAGTAAAACCATGTGAAGTTTGTAAACACTTTCCTTTATTTAAACATACAGAATCTGATCGAGCGCATGCTTCTCCATCACAGTTTAAAATATTTACACCATTTATGGCATCATCGATGGGGTTGATAATGACTCCATTTGTTTCAACCTAAGAAGATTGTGTAATACTAGTCATGATCTCTGTATTATTCAAAGAAGTGAGAAGTTAAAACTTTCAAAATTTATTAGTCAATTAGTGTTTTTCGCATAGTGTAAAACTAAATCATAGTACACAAAAATCCAATACAATTAAAAAATATATAACATTATATGTGTAGAAACCTCTGTGATATCTAAGTAATTCATTCAAATTCGATAAATTGGTTCGAAATTCTCCAAGGAGGTAATCAAAATTAAAATTCACAAAATACATATTATTAACTAAACAGTTTCTTGGATTATCTTTTCAGTAGGTTCCATATATTATTTCATTTTTGATAATAAACCAGAAAAAGTTTTTAAAAGCCGTTTGTTTCTGAATTTGTTGTGTTGGTTCCACTATTGTTTAGTCGATGTGTTTCACCATTGAGCTCTAAATAAGAAGCTACGTAACTACATAACTTTCCAAATGAGGGATGATTTAGGCATAGTTTACAGTTGTATATGCATTTACTTGAAGACTGGATAGCTTAATTGGCGAAGTTTTTATTCATACACCGTCTGATATGAGTCTGAGTACTGTAAGTGAATTAATATTCTTCAGTTTTGAGGGTAAGCCGCTGTGATGAATACTAGCTAATGCACTGTGTAGGTTCGGAAATTCCCAACTCTAAACTGAGGTGAAATACAAAGACAAAAATTTCAATTCATTTCTAACGAATGACATTTCACAGGCTATTAGTTTACCGCCACTAGTGATCGCAAGGATGGGCGGGGAAAAGTTCAATTCAAAAACTGTGATTTTGTCATTCAGCCACACATATCAAAATAAACTTTGTTACGAAGACCTTTTATACGTGCGTAAGCTAAAGTAACAGCTTATAAACTGGATAATTTAAGGGGTATCAGAAAATTCAATCTAATGGATTTTAAAAACCAATTTAAGAATTATGACTCTTGATTAATTAGTTATGAAACATGTCCAATAACTTCGGTATTACTTCCGACTTGCGTTTCACACGGTTTGACGGAATAATAACTTTTGATACTTGTTTAATTAGTGTACTGATTACTTTAAAAGTTACACCTTATACCTTTTTATATACACACAATATAAACAAACATACGGATTCGATGCATCCTTGAAATCCAAAACTCATGTTGGTTGAATATCCAATGAATGGTTTTAAATGAGTTGATATGATGTTCATATTTGGATGACCACCAAGGAATAAAGAGTACGTCAGTGTTAGCTGTACTTGTGAACCGAATGAATAATTGGTCATAATATGTTCATCTGAATCAATTTGTAGATAACCTTCACGACCGATTCTCCAAAAGTGAATTCGATGCCACTCATTCATTTTAATCGGCTTTGGGCTCCTAAAAATAATAGATAAAATATACAGAAGTTATCCGTCGTAATGTCTCTCCGTTAGTTTGCTTACAAAAGTGACTCTGTTTTTCCTTTTCAAAATACATTTTAAAATTGCTATCAGAAACGCAAACTGATTCACACAGTTGTTCAGGTTATGCGATTGTATACGAGGACACTTAAGCCTGTTATTTATTCTTTTACCTTAACAGCATTACTCTAAACACGAGGTTATTTTAACTGGATCTACTTTATTTTATAATGAACAGCATTCATATATATTAAAATAACCATCGGAATTGGAAAATGCTTATTCACCGGTATAGAATTTTTTATAGGCACTGAGGTGATGATGCAATTTATTTTCTTCACTATCCGTGATTCAGACAACAGAACTTCATCTTATGCTGATACTATTTAGTAAATATTCCTGAGTCGTAGTCTTCAAACACTAATTACGTATGACCACTTAATACTCAGTGGGACACTTTGACCTGATATTCATGACCATAAAAAACCCTGTCAGTGATAAAAAACAACGTAAAAATGTCTCGAGGAAGTCTGACACAACCAGGAACTAATGTTCATCTGTATCGATGGGTGGAATACAGCTTGTTTATTGCTGCATCCATAAAAACAGTTTTTCACACTTCTATATCACTATAGAACTATTTTTGATAAAAGGGTATTACGCACTCCCTAAAACATTTTAGTAACTGGTAATAATGTTCATGCAGAAGTTAAGTAAATATGAATATATATACAGACAGTGTTCTTATTTATAGTAGATGCTCATGGAGGGCATTTATGAGGATAGAGTTGTATCACGAGTTGACAGGGTTAGAATTCAGGGGTTATTGAATTCCAGTCAAAGTGGCTTAGTCTTGTAACTTGAAGATCCCAGGTTTGATACCTAGTGAGATCCTGAATGCGCACCGCTGAAGAGTCCCCAAATAGAACGAATCAGCTGTCCAGGGCACCCTAGTTTTCAGTGGTCTCTGTAACTGATGTTGGATCATGATGACAGTCTAACGATTGAAGTTGACAAATTACACAAACGTGCTGTATTTGCCGAATTTATTTGTAAACACAGTTATTCGATGTCAGATCGAACTGGTTAAATTTCATAGTTGATACAGAAAGTTCTCATCATCATCATATTTCCATTTATATTGACCTATTTTATGTGTTTTGTCATATTTAAGATGTTAGATACTCCACATTACTATCCATAATCTCTAATGTAACGACTATTATCTTACTTTAGAAATGCTGAACCGGAGCCCAGGTCGAATGCCACCAACAAATGACCATGAAATAAAATTACAGATAAGAAGTCACCGCGTTTGTCTTGACTATAGCCTTCATATAACAGCAGTCCATCCGGTTTAATTGGCCTGAAGTGGAGTTGTAAAGTGGTAAATGATGAGGATGTACCACTTAATCCAATATATTCTGTATACGAATATCCGTTGTAGAAAGGCATGATCACTTGAATTCCTACAAGGGAGGAAAAATAAACGTCAACTTCATCGTCAGTGATTAAATAAGCTGGGTACTGACAAAAATACTACAACCTGCCTGTTATAATAGTCCTCTCTGGAGGATTTCGTATTTGTCAACTTAAACGATTATTCACTGGTGGCATTTAACACCGAGAGATGAAAACAAGCAGCCTTTCAGAGTGTCAATGAATTTAGTGATTTAGAGTGAGCTATAATAACAAAAAGTGTTTTGTTATTGTCTTCCGAAATCCCCATTTCCTTGGCAAGTTGTTTATTAAATGCCTAGAAACTCCCACGAGTTGACCAAATAAAACGTAGTGTTCCTGAGACTACTAAATGAATGGATTTTAAAGTTTTATTATCTCCCCCAAAACCTTTTTATAACGTGTGGTGTACTACACAGCCACTAGAAGAATGTCGGCATAAAAACCAAATGAACGGGTAAACATTTTTTCCCGCAAAGTATCTCCGAAATCATTTAACTAAGAGCTTAATAGGCAAACATCAGAATTTTAAGTATTCTTAAAACTTTTTTAATCATGGCAACAGTGAGGCCGTAAGCATTCGACCTTCAGACTACAAATCAAGACTGTGACTGCATTAAACCTATCATTTTTTTTATTCCTTCACGTTCCCATGGAGCACAGGGCTTCAAGATAGAGACTTGAAGTTTTGGTAGCAGTGGTGTTCAGATTTTACGGGATGGGGTCGCTAGCCTCATGCCCAAACATTCCTCTTTACCAGTCTTCTTACTGGCTTAGAGAGATAGAGGAGTGCACCGGCCGGGGACCGAACCGCGGGCCACGTGAGTGGTCAGCGAAAATTCTACCCCTGTGCCACCGACGCACAAAATATGGAACGCTTCACGATTTCGCGTGTCATCCTTACGCAGGGACATGCTAATCTTCTTTGTATCTTTCCAATTTTAGTATATGTACCACCGAAGCAAGTACAAACCTATCATTACCTCCGTTTTATTTTTTTACGCTGACTTTTTCTTTGAGAATTGCTTTTGCATTCATCCCAACAAGTGTGAATTTAATATTCCCGATTCGGTCATTTCTTTGTTTCCCCGATATATTTTCTCAGTGCGTCTTAAAGGACAAAAATAAAGTCTCGCATTTAGTACTAAGGTTTATACTTAGAAATTCCCTTTTTGTAGCCTCAAAGAATTACTTCTTAAATGCACAATGAATTTTCACTTTGTCTTTAATAATTCATACTACCGACAAAAAGATGGAATAGCTATGGCTTCACCATTAGGCCCAATATTAGCTGACTTCTTCCTCGCACAACTTGAAAACGGGAAATTGAAAGACATCATCAAGGAGTTTGATACATATTACCGATATGCCGATAATTCAACTATCTTACCTGGTGAGAATGTAAACATTGACTAATTGTTGCTGAAATTCAACAACATCCACCCTTGGCTTACTTTTACTTGTGAAGAGCAGCAGGATAGTAAACTACATCTCCTGAATGTCTTGTTAAGTAGGCGAGAAGATGGGTCACTTGGGAGAAGCGTGTATAGAAAAAGCATATTCACAGGGCAATACACACAGTTTCTTAGTTATGTGCCGGTTAAATATTTAAAAAATTGTCGTCGAATGTCTTACGAGCAGAGTAAGAAAGATATGTATGGACGACTTCTTACAAAAGGAATTTGAATATATTCACAATTCCTTGATAGAGATGGGCTATCCAAGTAGTTTCATAAAGAAACATATGAAAACATCAGAGAGAAAACCCGAGACTATAACTACACGTAAAAAAACTTTATTTATTAAGTTACAATTAAATGGTGACTTATCAAGTGAGATTTTATTCCAGAGAATCTTCAGGAGTATACGAAGAACGTTTTACGCAGCATAGCTGTGTTTGTCATTCTCTAGCCGACGAATGATTGGGACGCAAACGAAGAACAAGCTAGATAGTTTTGCCTAATCTATGTGCGCTTATCAATTCAACTGCCCTTGCGTTATGTTGGGCGTACTACTAGACAGCTTAGCCAACGTGTCAGTGAACATCTCCCATCGTGGTTTGGCAAAGGACAGACAATTCAATCTGTAGCTCAGTTTTATCACATTTAGTTGATAGTGGCCATGTAGCGGAGGAAAGGAGAGCTTTCATAGTAATTCATCGTATTCCACTGAATCATTCCAGTAGACTTCTTCTTCGTCTACTGGACACAGCTGAAGCGATAGGCATTCGAACTATCAAACCTAAACTATGCCTATTAAGACATAAGCAATTGATGAATTCTACACCACCCCTGACTTATATTTTCAACCCCTTTCTTATCATCCCTTAATCTTATCACATCTTCATTAATAAGGTGTCTCATTTACTTACCTTACAATCTAGCATTACTTAATCGGTTCATTTGTTTTTACTAGCCTGAACATTTGTTTATTTAATCATGCTGTTTTTCGTTATTCGTGTTACGCAGACTGCTTCACCTTTCATCCTTATTATTGATTGGCTAATTGCACATTTTATATTCACCATCTTATTATCCTATAGACAAACATCATGATTGGTTTATGTTTGAATTTTTATTTCTAAAGTTATGTACATTAGAGTTAAACCTGATGAGATCGAATTGAAAACAATATTGTTCGCTTAAATGTATTGTTCTGAGGTTGAGAAAACCAGCTGTTCTACTTCGCATAATCATAGTCTGGCTATCTGCTATTCGATCAGGCATTAACTGTATTTTATCGACCACACCATTATACACAAAGGCATAGTTTAAATAACTACAGAAAACAATACATATTTGATTAGTAACTCCAGTCAGATAATATATATGATGCAGTATTTTATAGTCAGTAATGGGATACTCCTAAGTAATCATCATTCACCCATGTGCTCGAAAACAGTGACCTACATATAGGTTCACTTTTGTAAAACGTGTTAGATAAACAGTTTCTTAAACAGTAAACAAACATTTAGGCATTACAAGAATATAAGGATTTATTAATGCAAATCACTACTGGAAAACATCAAACTTCAGATAGAAATTATTGCAAGTTGACCATGGACTCATATCAGTGAGATTAGCACTGAAAACCAGGGAGTACTGAACAGCTGTTTCATCCTAGTTTGGGAATCGTCGGTAGTACCCACTCACTGGGGTTCGAACCCAGGAGATTCTGGTTACAAGGCAAGCTCGTTTACCATTCAGCCACTGGGACTCGGTCCAGTGGCCCATGAATGATAACTTCTTCCAAGTCAAGATTTAGAGCGACCACCAAATACTGTTATCGGTGGGACATCCATCCTCACACATGACTGGATGGACCTAACTGGTCACGACTTCTCACTAGAACTCCAGGAAACTCTGTCCTGCAGCAAGTCATTAGTGAGCATCAGCTGATTTTCAATGGTTGGTTTGTAAGGATTAGATTTGTTTTTACGAGTTGATCACGGATTAATTGATTGAATCGGGTCCCAGTCGCTGAATGGTAAACGAGCTTACCTTGTAACCATAATCTCCTGGGTTCGAACCCCAGTGGGTTGGTGCTGCTTATGATTCCCAAAGTAGTCTGAAACAGCTGTCCAGTATTCTCTGGTTTTCAGTGCTTCTCTAACTGATATCAATTCGTGATCAACTTGTAAAAACAAAACTATTCTTTACAAACCAACTTCTGAAAATAGAAATTATTATTAATAAATTCTGCAATCAACAAGTAGCATTATGGCTGAAATACTTGATCCTCATGTAACTGAGTAAATAGGAGAATTAGGTATGGCGTTTGATCTAAAACATACTAATATACTCTTTACTCCTAAATAAGAATTAATTTTCCTCGAATTTTCAAGTGTTGGATGGATTTTAAACTTGATCACGAGTTGATTTGAGGTAGAAAACAGCTGTAAACGAAGGAGTACTAGATAGATGCTTCGTCCTTCTCTGCGACTTTTCAGCAAGGCGCACCCATGACCTTACCGAAGACTGAACCCAGAACCTTCAGGTCAGAAGATAAACTCGCATACCAATCCCCGAATGGATAGTAATAACTAAGATATTCAATTATTTAATTACTAAGATAAATATGTAGTAACTAAGAGTCTGAAATTTTCATACTCACATACACAGATGTTTTTTTGACAAGAACTTTTTGTACTCTTTGATATTGGTGATCCGTAAGTGACTAAGAAAATAGACAGTACGTGTTTAGTCAACCTGATAACTGTCAACAAAGAGAGTAAGGGTTTCCACTAAATATCCAGAAGTATAATCGAACCATTGAACTACTAAAAAAATTTCCAAACTACAAATATTAACATTCATGGAACATTCAAGTGACTAAAAATGTTTCTGTTCAGTAAGAAAAACATGAAATGGCTTTGCAGATATAACAATGCTTAGATTTATATTCCCTGCTCTCATTCAGCCGGTTAAAAATTGGTTTTCTAGTCATTGTAAATTATTCATGCTCAACGTCTGAGCAGCAATAATTGGTTACTTCGCAAACTAACAAGTCATAATGTATTCATTGACTACTATTTATTATTTTTTATTATTATTGCTCCCTTGGGTTCCTAGTGGAACAAAGGGCTTCAACTGCACGTCTCCATTTTCTTCTGTCTCCTGCTATACTTTTCGCCTGCATCCATGTTAATCCATATTCTTTTAACTCCTCTTCACACGATCTCCTCCATGTCACCCTTGGACGTCCCACACGCCGCTTCCCTTTCGGGTTCCACTCGAGGGCTTGGCGCGCGATGTCACCCAGCGGTCTCCTCAGCGAGTATCCGATCCATTTCCACTTTCTCCTGCATATTTGTTGGGCGACTGGTTCTTGCTTTGTTTTGTTTGTTCCCATAATTCCTTGTTGGTGATTCTTTCCGGCCATCTGATCTTCAGTATTGAGCGAAGAGAGTTGTTAATAAAGGTCTGCAGGCTTTTGGAAATATTCTTTGTGACCCGCCTGCCAAGTTTCTGATCCATATAGAAGAACTGACTGACTTGACGTTTGTATTGAAAATCCGACTAAATTTTGTTGTTGATGCTGAGTTGAGTGACGAAGACTTCCAGATTGATTTCAGGCTGATGAATGTGTTTCTCGCCTTCCCGATTCTCGATTTAACATCCTAGTCCGCTCCTCCTGTAGTTGAGGCAATGCTCCCTAGATAAGTGAATGAAGTAACCTCTTTCAAATGCCTCCCGTTGATGGTGATTGACGTTGGATGTTGTTGCTGTTGTTGGTTGGTTATTTTCATAACCTCCGTCCTGTCTATGTTTACCTGGAGTCCTGTCTTTGCTGCTTCTTCGACCAGTTTGTCGGTTTTCGCTTGTAAGTCTTCGATTGTGTGTGACATCAAACATAAGTCATCCGCGAAATCCAGGTCTTCTAGGTTCTTCACGTCGGTCCGGGATATTCCTGTCTTCTCGTTTCCCACTGTCTGACGCATAATCCAGTCACTCCACCACAATTAGGAATATCATCGTGGGTGATAATAAGCCAGCACCCTTGTCTAACTCCTGTGTTTACTCCGAACTCCTCGATGAGTCTTCCGTTGTGGATCACTTGACATGTGGCGTTGTTGTACAGCTGTTGAATGAGGTTGATGAATATTTGGGGTACGCCATAGTGCTCGAGTAATTTCCAAATTACTTCACGATCAACGCTGTCGAAGGCCTTCTCAAAGTCTGTAAAGTTGAGGTAGAGGTTTGGTTGCCATTCCATGCTTTGTTCGATGATGATGCGTAGAATTGCAATTTGGTCAGTGCATGATTTGCCTTTCCTGAATCTAGCTTGTTCTGGTCGGATTTCTGTCTCCAGTGCTCACTAGAACCCCAAAATTTTGGTTTACAGTTCGTAAAACGTCACCCATAGGAATTAAATAATTTACTTTTTGTTTAAGCATATAGATTATGAATGTGTGTAAAACTCACTTTCTTCACACTGTTGTCCTGCATTTCCTAGAAGACATTGACAGATCACAGTAGAACCAGATGTTTGTAGACAAGATGCATTGTTCTTGCATTGTTGCTTTTCACATAGTCCAGATCCACAATTACCTTAAAGTTAAAACACCTCATAATTACTACTTTATACGTCATACTGATAAGTCCTAGCGTGAGAGTCAAAGGTGGATTCACAGAAAAACCGTAGAAATTTTTTGATTTTTTAACTCCATGTAAAAAAAGTTGCAGTTCAGTCATGTTTGCAACCACAAAACTAATAATGTTTAAAATTTCCTAAATAAAACACTCACTCCTATAACTGTTTTGAGCGATATTATTTGCTATATAAAGTAAACGCATAGTATTTTAGATTTGTCAAAATTATTTTAAAACACTATCTCAGAAACTCCGTACACTCAAGTGGGCAGGTTCTCGGTTAAAATAAAAATTTCAAATAAAGCAATACCTGACGAAACATCCCAAACCAGTTTGTCAACTCTGTCGTGTCAGTGATAGGATACTAGTTTTTACTCATTTATTCACTAGCAATCTCTCTGTTCAAGATTATTCGATATTCCTACTAACCAGCCACTGATAAAATACAAAATTAGGAAATTTACAGCCCGTGAACACGAAACCATTCTTACTGTATTGTTGGTCAAAGACGAATACCATGTCTATACAAATTTAAATTGGCAGAAACATGCACTATACGCGTTAAGTTAATTTCTTCTGACTCATACTCATGATAGTTTTTCACGAAATAGTGAAAATAAATCACTTACTTATCCCATATCCATCCACAGCATCTCCGAAGAAGGCTTTGCGTCGAGGATCCATGTAGACTCCATTAATCCTTATATTCTGTATGCATCCACTGTAGCTATATTCAAACGAATTTCCCAAAAAATTAACTGGTCCTTCAGTTTCAGTCAGCGCGGGATGCCCACCAAAATATATATGGCTGAATCCCGCATCATCGACATTTTTAAAGTGCTTCTCGTAATAGTTGACATTTGACCACGGAATAACCTATAATATTTTTGGAATTGGATTTGAGACTCAAGACAATGTGATGAATGAAATTTTCGACTGACAATAGTTCTATTTATTCAGGTAAGGTATTGTATAAAATTAAATCTAAGTAATTTCTCGCATCATCCACTTTATGAGAAAGCGAGTACTCTAAAACTGAACTGACGTTGACTAATCCTCTCAGGAGGAAAATATGAAGACAGAAAAGTGTAGTACATAAATCCCCAGTGGATAACGACAGGAAAGATGATGTGATTCATTGCTTAGTGAATGGAAACTAGTCAGCTATTTATTTCAAACAATACCAACCTTTTCTCTATACTATTTTGCTTAAAACCATATGAAAGGTAACTACTACAGAGACTTTTTCCATCATTTCTGGCTAAGTTATAGGATCACGAATATGTCAAATTTCACAGTGTTAATTTTACTCATTGTACATAGTTTTACCACCTAATGAGGTCAATAACCTGTAGTGCCGAGAGGGCTAAACTTGTTCTTTCCTCTTGGTTGGTATTTAAGAAAAGTACACATAATATAAAACTCGTCTATACTACTATATAATTTTATGTGTATTAAGAATTGCAAAATGGTAGATTTCAAATACTGAATTAATTGAATACCAGGACCAACGGTATATTCAAGCACTACTAATTCGTACACTAACCGTCTTAGCTGAAAATATCAAAATATTAAAAAATATCAATATTAAAGTATAACATAAAGGATCTAATTGTGAAAGGTTTTGAAGAAGTTGGATTTTGAACAGTTAATTTCACCTCATTATTGGTTGGTCACAGACTAAATCAGGGCAGATTTCATGCTGTCTTTTCTATGCGCAAGAAACAGAATCTATAAGACCGTAAAATATAATTTCGATGACAGATATTTCTCTATTTTATATAAAATAACTTTGACAAACGCAAGTATATCAAAATGGGCAAATATTTTGCTTAACACGCCTAACTACTGAATAACGTTTTAGTAGGATGTCGGCAAACTTGAATTAGCATTTTTAAATTGTTTCGTAGCATCCTTTGTTCAGAAACAGGATTTCTGATCGTTTTCCTAGTTAGAGTAGCGCTTCTTTACCATATACATTTTAACGCTGATTGTGTATACTTTAAGAAGAAAACTACTAAACGAAGTAAAACTTACTTTCATGTAAACGGAATCTTCTTTAATTCCGTCTACACTGAGGAAGTTCTTCCGGTCATCTGACATTCCGAACGAAATATAGTACCACTGATCTTTATTGAGAAATGAAAAATGCTTAACTTCTTGAATTTCTTCTTTCCGGTAGGGTTCAGAATTAGTTCTTGTAATCGTCAGAGATCTATTATTGAATATATATTTATATATATTAAAGATATAAAACAAATTACAGTATGCTTTTAAAGCTAAAAGACAGCAGAATCAAACGTCGAAAAATATGTATCTGTTGAATAATTATTACTCAGCAAATATTTCAAATCGCCCTTTTTCAACACATTTTGGATATATGAGAATCTTTAATGTTGTAGATCAGAATTTCACATGTTATTAACAATGCTGTGCTGCAGTTGGTCTTTAAATGATTTCCTTCACAGGTTTTTATAAGGTTCACTGACAAGGCCCCATAATTTTATGTAGTTATGCCACTTTTTTTGTTTGTTGTGGTATGCGAGTATCCGCAGTTTGGTTAGTAGGAGAAAAGGTCCACTTAAATTCCTATTCTTAATACGCTTATTCCCACTTAGGAATTTGTAAATTGATGTATTTACAATCCCTTTCATTTGATTAACCAACCTTTGACTTCAAACGCTTACACCTTCTCTATAGTATCGTTTCATCACTCTTGGGTTTCTGAAATTTGAGGTGAACTCATTTAATTTTATCTCAGCTAAGTGGTTACTCGTCATCTTATTGATCTTTTGTTCTTACTATGCAGCTCATTTTCCATTGTATCCAAACATTTAATATTTGTTTTGTTTAAACTTGAATCTTGTATGTACGCCATGTAAGTGTGGTTTCTGAGCGCAGTTCATTAGTTTTAGAATCTCTTGTTAAATGACACCATACCCTTGGAACTGCGTTAAAAGCATTCTGTACATAAACTTAGCTAGTTTTTTAGACTGTATGTAGCTGATGAAAAGCCGACGAAATAAACGATTGTGGCATCTTATTCCGCACGAACCGTATTTCTAGCCTTATTCAAATTCCTCTTCTTCTAGAAAATATCTTACTTTAACTTATCATTTAGACAAGTTTCCAAACTTCCCGCTTAAGTAAAAATATCAGTGTCTCTTTGGAATTTCCCTCTATTTTTGCCTTCATTAACTTACTAAATAATAGAAAGCGAGCATAATTAATAAAAATATGACATCGTCGATTGAAAAGGAGTTGCCATAAGTTCTGGATGGTGAACATCATGAGTGAACTTGTCATGTTGAGTGCAACAAAACGTGGAAGTAATATGAGTGAACTGGTCTCAGTAAAATGTCTGAATGTGAAAAAGCAAAGCTTTGTAAATCACATGGTAAAATTAAATTTAAGGTGACAAAAGATGTAATATAAGTCGTTTTTGTGCGCGGTGTTCTAGCTATATGTTATGAATTTCCATACAAAGCAACTGCACTGATCCACATTTTAGCACACTATATTCGTCCTTGTTGATCATGGTGACGGGTACATCAGAAGCTGCGTGATCACTGTTTACTATATGTTGTGATATAGATGAATTAACACCTCCACACTCACCTTCAAACATCCAAGCAAGAAAGTGCTATCTAATACAGCATGATGTTTTGCTGGATGAACATCCAATGCACCTAACTCCACGAATATAGGTGAACATATAAATGTATTTGAAATCGAATAATCAATGAACACTCCCTTAACATTAAATTGTACGAGTGAATGGAATAATTTATTTCTGTAGTGTCAAAAAATTTTTTCCCTAATTACTTGCAGAAACAGTTTCTGGGAAATCGCTCTCAGTGTCTCCCACAGATTCTAAATTTAAGTAAAACACACTACTGGATGTCTTAATCCGTTCTATGTCTCTTTCACGTAGCTTACTACCAGCTCTAGCACACCGTAACGCTTACCCATTCCATACAAAAGTGTCATTAAGCTGTCTCAGTTCTTCATTAGCACTGTCTTCAGTTCGAATTTTCTGGAAACGTGTTCAGAGAAAATGAATTATATTTCCTTCTTTATTAATGGCAACAAAAAGTGTAAATATCAGTCATTTACCCAGTCCTTATCGATTTTCTGTAAACTGATGCTTTCTTTGACTTATCAGCTCTCCTGATAAGTAGCATGCCAAAGCAAGACATTTCACCACCTTCTTCTTTGCCAAATCTAAACTGGACAGCAACGCGCTCATCATAAAATACCTTCCAGGTGTTTTCTAAATCACGTGTAATAAACTTATCATCCGCATGTCTTTTGTAATAGTTGAGTCTTTTGATAACAGGTACAAGAGTGCTGCTCTTCAAAATAACCAGAAAATCTTTGAATAAAATCTCTGGTGCAGAACCCATAGAACGAAAAATTTAGCATTTTTACACCTATCATCTTCAAGTGAACCTAATATTTTTATTAAAAGTAGTTTTCTCATGTGTACTTAAGTTGATTAAACTTCATTGTGACCATTCTTTATTCACTCATATTTTTAGTCACTTTGCCAACTAAACTAGTCGTGCCAACTAGAATACTACACGGCAGTATTCCCACTTATTGTCAAGCTGTAACACACTCTACGAATGAACTTGTTAGTAACCTTTGCGATTCATGTATAAATACAACTGTGCAGTTCCAAAACCGAAACCATCACAAAGAGTCTTAAACAAAAACCAAAAAATTAAAGCAGTGTATAGTTTCCTCTGAGGTCAAATAAATGTTCCGGAATAAAAGAATATTTCTTATACCAAGAGATTATTATGTAAAAAATACGAAATATTGTATGCATATCAGAATGCTTAATTTTCTCACTAACCTGTACACCACGTAGCCATTTTCAATACTGACTGAAAACTGAACATCACCATTCTTGGACACATGAGAAACCAAGAGATATTTTCCACCAGTAACACTCGGTCGTACTTCAAAGTTCACTTTATACGTAAAGGAATAGTTTGTGGACATTTTATATCTTTCAAGGCTTTCATTACTGTATGTTACCAGTGAGCTGAAACGAAATTTCAGATAACCATTCTGCTGAATGTATGGGAACTCATGTCCATCATCCTCTACAAATCGGTTCCAGATTGATAAAGAAATTGGAGAGTAGTTTAGTGATGTGTGAATTTTATATTTCTCAATTAACTACATTGATAAAAGCCAAAACGCTAACTACACTGCTGTGTGGCATGGTTCATAAAATGTTAGAATTGCGATCTTATGATCACAAGCTCTTTATTCACGCTATACATGATCTCACGCAACAAAAGCTAGTCAATAGGCAGGATATCATAAAATTGCTAAAGTTCAACTCAAGTTATGAAATATCAAAAGCAAAAATAACGAATTTTTAAAAACAAAAGTCAGCATTATCTTACTTCATGTTTAAGTCTCCCTGCTTTATTATCAGATTTATGATCAGTCCTAGCTAAGTCAAAAGTTAAGAACTCCGGTAACCAAATTTATGTTGTTAATCTCAACTTTGTAAAGTGGAATGAACCTACTGTTCTATCCCACTACAATATTTCTACAAAGTGGCTAATCTGGTCAGAACTTATACTGGAAGTTACTTCCAACAATAAACTTTGTGCATGTTGACTACTTTAGTAATATTCATGAAAAAACACTTGTAGCTTATAGTGACACGTCAGTCACTAAACATGTGATTGACTAGGTAACTTCTGATGGAGCGCGACCCTAAATAAAAACATAAAGTCGTTAACGAGATAGATGAAGTTACAATTTTACAGTAAACGAGAAACAGCAGAGTACGTATACACTACTAAGCGAATTGTTAGGTTTCTAATCTGTAGTCTTACAGACCTACAAATAACCTTTTGAAGCAAATCACTATTAAGATTTTATTCTGTGGTTACCGTACTTACTCACCTTCTTATGTATCGATTCATGACAGACTAAAAGGAATTCGGAAAACAAGTGATTATTGGTTAGCTATCAAGTTAAATGTTATATGTGAGGAGAAGTTATTCGGCATGAAGCTTAGAACCCAGTTCCAATATTTGGTACCCATCATTAAGGTATATGTGTAATCCAGAGGGCATACATGATCTAATAGTATTCAGAACCTGTGTCACTCTTTTCTGAATTCAGACATTCTCAAAACCCCAAATGAATGTAAAGTCAGGCATATACGCAAGTGGAGAATATCTCTAAATTTTTAATTTTTAGCTATGCATAGTCTTTTACATATTAAACTGTTCCATAATACTAATTCCAAAATATTTACATTATATAATTTGTGTTACCGAAGAGATGATTAACATTCATTCCGTACAAATTAAGTATTCCTTTTCTGCCCTTAACATCAATATTTTTTGTCTATATGATGCAAGAATTATTCGAATTCAGCGGACTGGCCATAACTTATATGAAGATGAAATAACAAATAACTAATGAAGTTTATAAAAAGCAAAGAATGGAGTGTAATTACTGATACTTAAAATTTTTAGGGTAATTTTCTTTTCTAAGCTGCATAACTTAACTGTCATGCCTTCATTACCCGTCTAGACAACGTCTTCAGATTTCAATATGACGTAAGTTTTTCAAATCCTCCATGAGTTTATCAGCCCTCTGTCCTAGTGACGTTGAACTCAACTGACTCGTTCCTGAGATTTCCTCCAACTCATGCCCGCAAATATGAGTATTAATTATTTTGTCGACCGGTTGGTTTGCTTGATAAAAATTATCTGTACTAATACATCTTTTGATTGTAGAATCAGCTCAGTACAAGGCTTCCAGGAATTAGTTGGCATTTTAGGTATTTCTTTTGTATAATATTTGTACATTTTCCCGATTGAACTGATGTTCGTAGTTGTCTGTATGCACTGATATGAGGGGAAGGATAACGGGTCTCTTGACAGCCAATTTATTTTCATCGGCGCAAAGATGAAAATGACGTTCACAATCACCAATACAGTATCTTATACAGATTTCGCAATCTGTGCTATTGGTGTTGTCTCCTTTTGCCTAGCTGTGACTGCAGAGACATGCTTCGTATGTGCTAGTACGATTATCTTTGTGCTTCCATTGAATGACTTTGAGTTGGCCAGCTGGTAGGCATTCATTTTTATGACAACACTTATTAGACATTTCTCATCTATTCTCCTCAGGCTAAGATTTCTGAGGTGAGTCCTAGGTTTTTTGAATAATGTTTGTGCAGAACTTCTTTGAAGGCTGTAGTACTGTTGCTTTAGTTAATGCGTATTCCATTTATGTGACTTGATGCTTTGTCTATTTGATTTAAAGATAAAACTTTGGCACTGGGGTAGAGCATACCACTATTATGGATAAAATTTTATTTTTATAATATTACACAGTGTTATAGTGTAATATTTACTGACGACGTTCCGAGAAAAAACTATTGCCTATAATTATATCAAGGCCTTGATATAAGCAATAATTTATGCTTGAAACGTCGTAAATATTACTGTACAACACTGAGTGATTTTATCAAAATAAAATTTTGTTTATTCGAGTTCTTGATTTTCCTGTCCTTGACAGATGACTCAAGATGTGTGAAAACTGAATTTTGTTCCCGGATCCCTCTCAAACCGGAATTCCTCCTTATTGTGAAGAGTTTTCGGATTAGATTTCAGTGCACAGTCAAATAATAAATGAGTGCTAACCACGTTTACATTTACTGCACTTAGTGAAAACCACTAACATAGCGAACAGTTCTTCTAAAGCTCATGCTGCTAGTGAGTATTTCACTCACTACTCTACTAATAAAAGTTAAGACATGAGCTTGAAAGTCAATCACATTGAGTGGTTATCATAAGCACCATTGTGTTGCTAAGGTTCATTTTTTCGTGATATCATTTTTGGTAAACAAACGTTTTACCCTCTGGCAGGAGTTCAGTGAGCTAACCATCAGCATTCGAAGGCTGAATGACGAAATTCTGACATCATGAACATTTAAGCAGTATGACAATAACTACAGCATAGCAACTAAGGAAAATAGATTAACACTTCTGAACTAGATTTATCTGGTGACAATCTATCAGTTTACAGTATTTTCAGGATATATATTTATACATTTCAAAGATCAAGGTAAATGGTGTTCCTCACTCTCCTATTTTCAAATAGGGAGATGAAAGATGTGTCAGTGATTACCAAAAGTGCGATAATCATTCTAAAGTAGCTCCATCTCACAAATTCTTTTTAACCTAAATCTGTAGGACACATCTATAGACATCTGAATCAACTTGGTTTAAAAGTTTGTAGTTCAATGTTATGAACGAAATCCAAAGCTCTAAATCGTTTTATATTTATCTCATAGATTTCCCTACATGGAAATGAATAAAGTATAGAAAACATGACTCTTGCACCTGTGTAGATTAATGGATAACACTCTGGATTTCAAACTTATTGAAAATATACTTACGTCGCAGAGGGTACACCAACATTTCGATACAAATAAAATTAACCGGTAAGAATAAAAAGAATGGACTATGTTCCTTGGGTTTCAGTGTCGGTGAAACAAAAAAAAAAGAGATATTACCATTCACTGCATCGTCTATCCATTATAAGCAGCATATTCGTGTTAACTACAAAGAATATTGTTCATTTATTATAAAATTAGCCTTATGCAGAAACTAATTTGAAATCTATATATCCCACTACACTCTTCTGTTATTAGTGACCCTCTATTGAACGATGCAAAGCAATATCTTATAAATCTACATCATTCAGGAGTAGTTCTGTAAACAATAACCTATCTGAGTAATAATTTATGGGAATGAGACACTTATGTTTTTGTCCTTACCCAGACAACAAAATTTGTCTTAAAACTAATCCATGTTGTTGGAAACCATCATGCCTTGTTTTTTCCAGAATTTACCAGGTAGAGTTACCATATAAGTGTGAATAGTGTTATTCTCTAAATTACATATTGTATTGATCGAAAACCCATATTTATGAGTTGACCTACACTTTGCTTGTTTTTGAAGGAAGCTGTTCTAATTCTATAGAAAAGTAATAAGGCATCGCTTATTTTGAACGAGATACAAAGTAAATGGATACTAAAGTTGCATTATTATTATAATCCCAACTATCTCAGGATATAAACTGGGAGTAAAATATTATCAATTTCCCTTCACTTAGTTTTAATAAATGACTTCCGGAAATGCATAATGATAAATTACCTGTGGATAAGGCAATTTTAAATTACCTGCAGTTTAAAATGATAAATGATATGGTTAAGTAAATAAAACTCTCCAGTCAGCCTTTCACACAGTTGGTAATATCGTGAAAAGTCATACACTTTATAACGGCAAAATAGATTTTTCCTCATGTGAAAGCATCAGGGCATGGAATAGAGAACGAGTCGAGGAATGACCGTAACTTAAGTAGAATTTATATAACTTATCAGGCATTCGCTGCAATGCACAGTAAAACAGACAACAACTTTGGGGATTCACTTTACTGAAGATATTATGTTACTTACCAACACTGTCCTTATAATATTGCAATTATCATGTTATATACAGATTCTTGCATTATTAACCTGTGCGGGGATTTCGGGAATTTAACAGTGGTTAGTTTACTGGCATGTATGTTTCATAATGCATAAGTCAAACCTTTTTGATCAAAGTCATATAACAGAGCAGTTTATTCAAACACACACTTTATTAACTTGAGATATAAAGTACAGTTTTTGGGGAGTCATACTTACGGTTCAACTTATCTTTTGAACTGAATTCTGAAACCAACTCCAATCATACAGGCAACCGAAACAAGGATAAGTATAAAAATCTAAGCACTAAAGTTTAGATTAAAGGATCCTTAAGTCGTTAGTACGAATGAATAACTCTCTAGGCCTAAACTGTTTGATTTACCAAAAGCCATGAAATACTATTACTTTGAGAACATCAATAAGTGAGGTTTCAGTAAGAATTACCTTTCTCACATAAATCACCAGAAAATCCTAGAGGGCACAAACACTGGGAATAAGAAGTATGCCAATCAGTATAACAACGTCCCAGATTGTAGCATAAATGTGACCCACAAATTGTTACAGATTGATCAGTTAGTAAATTCATTATGGATTTGTTATTCTTCTCCTTGCTATTCATGATCTCACTCCTACCAGAAGTAGAGTTGTAGACAGGATCCTCAACTTCAACCTCCATAATCATCGACCAATCATTGTCTTCCTGATTTTGTTTAGCCAATAAGTTAAAGACAGGAATCAGACCTAAAATAGAATGTTCAACAGACTTTAGTTTTTCATTTTCCACTTTAAATCAAATTTTTAAGTAAGGAACACGAAGTACCTGTTCGTTTTTTTATTAAACATCAAAATGTCCAAAGTTTCCTTATAAGCATTTGTACGTGAGTGTTTATTCAAGGGATTTAGGAATTTATTATTGAAGAAGGAATGACGATCAAAAGAATATCACTAAAAGTCTATTTTATTCAATTAAATTTTCAAGTGAGTTATACCAAACAAAGGATAAAATAATGACCAATAGTTATTCTTTGCAGAACTTCTGAACTGTCATGGAATCTCCAGTTGGATTCAAAAGTTCATCAGCACATCCCAAAGAAAATACAGTGGAAGGAGGCTACTTTGAAAAACCAGAAACTCATAGTCTGTAAATCTTTTATAAGCACCTTCTAGTCACTTCGGAACACAAATGCACACATCAACAGGCAGTGGAATTCATCTGTATTTCATACTATCAAACGACTTATATCTTTGTAGGCAAATGAAAATTGTGACTAATAACCTCGGTTTACGTAGTTATTATTCACTGAAAGTATAGAAGAAACTTGTTTTTAATCCTGCACTAACTTGGTTTACTTCAGTTGCTATTTTACCTTTTGCCAGCACCAATCAAGTGAACATCAGTCTCCAAATCCAAAGCTATCTCACACTGTCACACCCACTGGGCATATTGAAATGTTATGAAGTCAGCCAGTTAATCACATCTAAGTGCTGAGGGTTAAGGTTAGAGAACGTGGCATTATTTTGCCAATTAATCCTCATCAATGTTATTCTTTATATTGATAACGATTTCAAATGTCGATTTTTTGATGTTTCTATTCTCCCATTGCTACTAGCGCCTGAAAGTCACAGCTCACTTTAACTTAACTCTCTATCAGTTCTTTAGGCTACTTTCAGAGGACAAGGTCGATAATAAAAACTTATTGTGATACTCCTACCCTTTGACTGGCGTATATTGGAGGGGAATTCAAGTTGCATATATTCATTTTATTTATTTACTGCCTTTTTTGATTTAAGTATAAAATAGAGTCTCGTAATTGTCAACTGATTTCTTGAGAAGGATACCAATAATTCTATACTCTATATTGTTATCGTAACTTATTTATTTAGTAGGAAATTGCACTCAGAATCTTAATGCAAGTAAGCTCACTAAGAAATGTGCTAGGCGCATCACCTAGTATCCAATCTGCCAAAAACTAGCTAATCGAACACCCAGAAGATAGTAATCGTTATGCCAAATAGTGTGGTGTTTATAAACTATACATGACTCAGATATGTGTGCTACATCAGTAAAACTGGGAGTGAACACAAACCACGTCTATATTCTCTTGTAAAACATTAAACTGCCTTTATCACTCTAATCATTAATTCAAGTTATTACTAACAAGTGAACTCCAGTATTATTTTGAATACCATGTGTCACTTTGAACTTTACCGCATAAACCAAATTATTAAATATTTACATCCCGTATGAGCAAAGAACATACAGTATCTGTCTATCATATAATAGACAACTGACTGTTGGATAGAAACGCAAATGATAGACTTACTCCATTAACTGTTATCCAGTATTGGAACACAAAACGAGCTACACAAAGTTGAAGAATACCAAGCAGCCAAACGATATCTATCTATGTGATATAAACTTAGACTGTCTGATAGTGATAAACTACAATTTTACCAAACACTTCCACTGCGGAAATTAACAAAATCTTTCAACTATGTGTTATTTTATTCATAAAACTTGAAAAAGTTTATTGGGTAAAGTTTTAGATACACTCTAATTTTCAGTCATAGTGCAGCAAGTTACCCTTTTAGAATCAGCTAAGAAACATACAAGAGGTAAGCGCTGTTAATTTCCTTGGATGATACAAACTTCCCAGTTCACTACCTAGTGAAGCCAATCGTTTCAGTCAAACAAATGAGTTAACAAGTAGACTACTATTTGAGTTGTATTCATTATCATTGGTAATGGATTTTAAATTTACTAAATACATTATAAAGGTATCAAGAAAAGATATATTTCATCTTTACCAATCTCCTCAGCATGTATTAAATTAGGGAAACACAGGTAAGTAAGCACCATTAAGAAAAGCGAGCAAATCAGAGTTTAACATTCATATTTAGCCACATAACCAGCGAAGTTTAAGCTTATTAAACTGCATACCACTTCCTCAAATCCATAAGCGATACATATATTGTAGCTTTATTATAAATTCGGTATAAATTTCTTATATAAAAACGCTAAGGTAGAAATGTTCAGAATGATGCGAACTTTAAATGACAAGACGTACATTTTTTGAAAGGAGTAAATATGAACAATAAAAAAATATTAAGCTGATGACAGTTCGATCTTACTGAAACACAGCAATAGACTGACAAGCTTATTATCCAGCATGCTTTATTTCCAACATAAATATCCGTTAGTTTAGATTCTTCCAACTAGTAATCCGTCTTATTTACTCCTAAACGAAACGCTTCTCAAATGGTAAGATGATTAACACGACAATTAGTTGAAATTAATAAATAAAACTCATAGAGTTAAAAGACAGCCTATTGGTTAATTAAATTTATTGGGATGTGATTGGCTGACATAATTACTTCAGTTTATTGAAAACTACCTAAGAACTTTGGAATCAGTTAATTACTCCACGTTCTATACAGTCTTGAATGAACTGAAAGCAAACTACTTAAAAACCAGTCAACGTATGTTCCGCTTAAATAAACTGGGGGTTTTGTGCGGAAAAATAAGCTAAGCATACAATAAGTATATTCTTTTACATGACAACTGTCAACATCAAAATGGTTCTCAAGTGTTGGTTTGTAGGGATTTGATTGGTTTCAGGATTTCATCATGAGCTGACATTAGTTAGAGAACCATTGGAAAACCTGGGAGTACTGGACAGCTGTTTCGTCCTAGTTTGGGACTCTTCAGCAGTACGCACCCACCGGGATTCCAACCCAGGACCTTCCGGTTACAAGGCGAGCTCGTATTCCATTAAGCCACTGAGACCCGATCCAATGGTCCTTGAATTCTAACTTCTGCCAATTCACGACATAGCGCAACCGCTAGCCAATGTCTTCTGTGGCGAGTATTTGTCCTCACACCCGACCAGCTGCACCCTACTGGTCACGACTTCCCACTGGAATCCCGGTGGGTGCGTACTGCTGAAGAGTCCCAAACTAGGACGAAACAGCTGTCCAGTACTCCCAGGTTTTCCAATGGTTTTCTAACTAATGTCAGCTCATGATGAAATCCTGAAACCAATCAAATCCCTACAAACCAACACTTGAATACCAATGAGATGCTCACTGGCGACTGGCCCTATTCAGGTAGGTAGTTACCTGGGTTCCAGTGGGAAGTCGTGGCCAGTAGGGTGCAGCTGGTCGGGTGTGAGGAGAAATACTCGCCAAAGACATTGGCTAGCGGTCGCGCTATGTCGTGAATTGGCATTCATTAAACCGTTCACTATTATAATTCCCTTAGGTGATACATAAGGCTTCAAAGAAAAATCTTGATTTCATCCTGTTTTTTACACGCCTATTTAGTTAGCTCCACGATAGTCCGTAACTTCTTATCTTCTCCATGTCACTCTCGGACGCCCAACTCATCGTTTCCATTCGGGTCCCACTAGACAGCCTGGCACACAATGTCCCTCAGTGGTCTCCCCAGAGTGTGTCTGATCCTCCTTCACTTCTTTCGGAATATTAATTCAGCAACAGGTTCTTAGTTGGTTCGTTCCCAGACTCCTTTTGTTGCTACTACTTTCTGGATATCTGATCTCCAATACACAGCAAAGACAGCTGTTGCTAAAAGTGTGCGCCCTTTGGAACCGCTTTCCTTGATGCTCCGTCTTTTGTCCATATAGAAGAACTGACTTAACACGGGTGTTGAAAATTCGAATCTTGTTCTTCATGCTTAATGCAGAAAATTTCCAAACTGATTTCAGTTTAATAAAGGCCTATCTTCTTTTTCCAATCCCAGCTTTGACATCCTAATCCATACTGTCCGTGATAGAAACGAAGCTGTCTAGATAATTGAAAGAAGTGATCTCCTTCAAATAGCTTTCACTGAGAGTTATCTGTGCTTGTTGTTGGTTGGTTATTTTTATCACCTCTGTTTTCTCTTGTTTTATTCGAAGTCCTGTCTTCTCTGCTTCCTCTGCCAACTTGCTGGTTTCATCTTTAAGTCTTCAAGCTTGTGGGATCCGAAAAGTCCAAAATCTTCTGCAGTTTTTTTATTGATACAAAGTATTCCTGTCTTATCGCTCCCTGTAACCTGATGCATGATAAAATCCACCTTAATCAAGAATATCATCGGTATTAGTCAGTCTTGTGAAATTAAACACATTGATTTCCAATTTAAAAAGCTTCCATATTTATGGAAGTGCTTCCAAATAATATTTAGTATTTCATGTACATAATTCAAGCTTAGCAGATGATTAATAAAGACTGAATCATTCTCACAGAACTTAAGTATTTCCCCCAAATCTTGGCATAAGTATAATATATCAGCACTTGCTTTGTAAAGGAGTGCAACCATGTCAAGTCTCAGGTGGAGTACACTGAGTCTGCCATAATGTACTGAAGTATTCAGTACCTTTCTGATTTACTTGCGAAATGGGAAACCCAAACAATACTTCTGCTCTATGCAGTAAATAATAGATATCAGTGTTATCTAATTAATGTAAGCTGCAAACTTACAATCAGATCACCTCTAGAAACGTCAGTAATGTCAAAATCTTTGCAACATAGGCCTGTAAATATCTCTGTATGTGACTCCGATGATCATCTTAGTATAAATCGTAATTTGTAACCTATTGATGTAATTCAGATCCCTTTTCCGTGTGTCTAACTCATAGTTATTTTTACTGTTTTTCCCTCTATAACATTTGAACTGTTTTCGAACTTTACTTAAGCTCTATTCAACCCTATAAATTATGATACTTTATTCAATTTACTTATTTTAGTTTATATACGTTTAATGATTTCTGTTTTACGCAGTTGTTATTGGAAAACTTAGGACTTTAATGACATCTCTTTTTTTTCTTTCACGTTCCCAGTGGGACAGGGCTTCAAGCTGGAGGCTTGAATTTTCTGTAGCAGTGTTTATTTTTACAGGATGCGGTTGCTAGCCTCATGCCCAACCTTTCCTCTTCACCAGATTTACTTCTGGCTGAGTGAAATAAAGGAGTGAGTCGGCCGAGAATCGAACCCTGGACCATGTGCATTGTCGGCGAGCGTCCTAACCGCTGTGCCACCGACGCAAATCGCTGGCACCGGAGGGGTCCCTTTGCATTATTTGAATTTATAAAATCAAAATGAGATTTTCTGTTGTTAAATGTCTATCCTCTGAGAGAGCATTGAATACTGCCCTAATCTTCATTTATACTGTTTGTCTGGATGTGTTTAGCGGTGGAATCCAGGAGTAGAAGTAGCATGCACCAGTAACGACACTTTGTATCCATTCCCATAAAAGATGGCTCTTAAGACTCGTTAGACTATTGCGTAGCACACTAGTGACTGAAGTGACAGGTAGAACATACATGCTTTTTATCTAACGTTTCTACCAGGTGAGCCCTGTTCACTACCATCACATGGTCGCGGTGTTCGTCGCAAAAGTGAGAGGGCGACTGAGGATGTCTGCCACTTACATCCAGACTGATGGACATGCAAGTCAACTACCTAGGGGGCTGGAAAGCTCTAATTCCAAATGTATGGTATACATAGGCCGCAGAATCCTAATCGATCGAATGGCGTAGGAACCTGCCTTGGTAACTGCCAGTGATGGGATTGTAGCTCCTGACACTGCTCTACTAACTTGTAAATCAGTTTTCAAGTTAAAGATATGAGGAACCACCTACCTCAACCAGTATCTCAGCCCTCGTACAAACTACGAGATTTTGTGTGACACATTTCTTGGTGCCCACAATGTATCCAGTTTGTGTTTTAATAATAACTCGTCTTAGGAAGCATCCTCTACATTATGCGTTTGATTAAAACAAAAACTTAGCAAATCTATTGGTATCTCTTTGGAAGCATTAAATTATTTGTCATGAAAATGAACTATATAAGTGCGATTGTACAGAATGAGAATGATACCGCTGAAAAGAGTAACTCTTGGATGAACACCTCTTCTTTTATATGACCTAACATGTATTTTTAAGATAACTGGTTGAAAGATTTGCTTTGTGAATGAAAAGTCAGAAATACTTTGTCAGCAGTATTATTTTCTCTTTCAGCTTATCGTGTACTTTTCCAATTTTTCAAACAGCGGAAAGTATCCATCGGATCGTAGAAAAATTGAAAGAATGTAACAGAAAAGGAACATTTCTGTTGCCATTGAAGACTTCAACAGCAGGCAGTTCTAGAATCCTCTTTTTCTTTTATCACATGCTCACATATTTGCTGAGTTGCTGACAACTTCATCGGAAAGCAAAGAGATTTTCTTCAATGCAACTATATTTCTGTTTTTCAGTTTTTATTCTTTAAGTATGTCTTTAATGAAGTAAACTAATTAATTTATTGCATTTACCAGACAAATATATCTCATCGTTTAGTGTTTAGCTGCTCAATGAGTATTGAAAAATGGCCTTCCAAATATTCATGAAATTCAGTTCATAAAGATATGCTCATGCCTTTTCCTGATAAAATGTGGACTTAAATAGTAACATATGCAAGGATACGTGAATTTTCATTCCCACTTGTGTTTTCACCCAGATTACAGGTTAATCGAACCGGCTTACTGTGTAACGTTAAAACAGTCAATTATTCATCAGGAAAGTCAAATGACATTTTGATATGGCTCTTCTTTACGAACGTTTCAAAATGACAACTAGGACACCGGTAATAATAATAATGTATTTCACTATCTCTACTTCGACAGTATGCTAATTTTAGTTTGGGACATTGTTTACAACCTCAAAATATTTCAAAACAATGAAGACTAGTCAGGTTATAACTAAAGGAGTAAAGATTAGTAAGGAGCTTAATTGATGGATGGTGATTAGCAGTGGAATCCACGATGCGCATTTCGTCCTATTTGGTACTCGTCAGCTGGGTGTACCAATCAGTCAACGGGAAGACCAAACAATTCAATTAAATTAATATGACCCGTCGCACAAGAGAAGGGCCCAAGTGGTCCAGTGGATAACGCTTTGGCGTTTGAAACTATTGGCACTGGGTTCGAGCCTTGGTGGGAACATCATCACTCACTTAGAAATGCAAGTATGTCCGGATGACGAGTCCCAAATAGAACGAAATGAGTATCCTAGATTCTACTGCTAGTCACCACCAACCAATTAAATTCTAATTAAATGCACAGACATCGCCGAATCATTTGCACAAGAAGCCGACATGTCAACCTGAGACCGAGCACTTCGGTCCAACCAATTGACG